AAAAAAAAAAAGTGCCATTAATTGCAGAATAAACCTCATGAGAATTAAAACGAAAACAAAACCCGAGTAAAGACGTGAAGCGACGCTCGTACATGAGAACGATGTAGCCAAACGGTAAACTGAGGTGAAAGCTGCGTCCACTTCCCCCAACAAAAAAAACAAGAAACCAGAAGTTCCACATAAACAAGAAAAATAATGATTAAACCTTTTCAGAAAAACCTGCTCGTGTTTTTATAGAGGGATAAGGTGGTGACTCTGATCCATCCTCAGAGATAAAAGCACTTTTTCCTTCAAGCAAAGAAAAAAATGGTTTCATGATCAGCTGATCATCAGCCCCCGTCCCATCACTAATTTCCTTTTTTAAGCCTATAAAAACCTGACATATGAAACCCTTTTGCACCACACGGGGTCTTACTGTTGTTGAAATCATCCATGTTTATTGTGACACGTCAGTAAAGACACAACAAAAATCTGATGACGCCACACAAGCAGAACAGACACGGGTGCCTTTTCTTTTCTTTACTTAACATTTTGTAATGAATAACCGAGAGTGGAGCATCAAACAGCTCCAAAATCTAAAGTGTGTTCAGCACACGGCTAAGAGTGACGAAGAGTTCAGGCAAACCAGAAGAAGAAACCAGAGGAGACGTCGGAGTCTTGTTTTGCTCGTACTAAGTGATCTTTGCTGCAGCTCCAAACATTCATATTCACAAGAGTCTCGATGGAAATTACAGTTTAAGAAAGAAGGAAATCTGACAGCACAGCCATCCTTTGGACTTTTTTAACCCTGATTTAAACCCAGAATGTGCAGAGAGGACAAAATGCTTTTATTTTGGAATGAAGATGGTCTTTTCCTGCAGGGAACAGGATTCATTATTTGGATTTACTTTGCTCCAAAAATGTTAATCAGGGAATGTCCTCAGAAGAAAACAGTTTATGGAAAGTGAAGGAAAAGGTCAGCTGTTTAAAGGACAACAAAACCCCAAAGCTGGCCTTTAAACAGCAAAGTGGACAGAAGAGAGAAAACAGAAACACTTCAGAGGCGTAAACAGTGACACAGGAAGTCTGACAGTAAACCGACATTCTTATGTTGGAGCTCAGACAGTCTGATTAACCAATCACAGCCATCGGTGATGTCAGCTGGCCCAAAAGTCGGTGACATCACAGCGCGGAGGTGGAAGCAGAGGCAGCAGACAGTTTGCTGAGGACGGTGATGAAGATGAAAGAAGCCGGGAACCGTCGATGTCCTCCTCAGTCTGATTTCTTGTCGCTCTTCGCCTGCAGATAAAAAAAAAACATAAAAACAGCTGATCGCCATGACAACATGCAGCCAAACCACGTCAAACTGTGTCGGGTAAAGACAGACATCACAAACAAATTCACGATGAGCATCATCACAGAGCGTCAGCTCTTTAAGCCGATACGCCGTGTTTCAGATTAAATCCGAGTGTAACTTGTGACTAAATTTAATGTGAAAATATGAAAACAATGTTGCAGGAGTCTGATCCTTTATTTAAAACTGTCTCTTATTAGGACGTATAAATATAACGTCATGTTAGATCGTCAGCTCAGCCTGAACTGGATCCAGAACACGAGCAGCTGAGACCGAAACTCGAGATTAAATCACGTGATTTTACATGTATGTTACACAAACCTGCTGTCAGAGTTTGTGCTGTATATGATTTAAGCTGGACGAGCTGCTGTAACTGATCTCACACACACGCTAAATATATCTTTAACTCGCTGTGCCCTCCGCTCAGTGTATCCTGGATAATCCTCGTCTTCACACTTAGAAAGACCAACGTTAAAGAAAAGTGGACTAAGTATTTTATTTATGGCCTCCAGTGAGTGACTGAGCTCATCAACTCATCAGTAAATG